ACACAGACAGTAGGGGGTGCGTTAGAGGGTTTAAAACAGCCCTGGGACGAGGAAAGCCCAGCCTGACGGGCCGCGCCCCGACGCCATCCGTCCCTCCATCCTTCCCAGGCCCTCCGGCCGTCACGGGCCCTCAAGGGGCACTGGCCCCCCGAATCAGAGGGCGAAGGGCTTCGCCTCTCAAACCCGTTTCTCTCCCGTGACACGGGCAGGGTGGCCCACAGTGTGCAGCGCACACGGCCCCCTGAGGCATCGTGGGCGGCACATGCAGTCACCGCCGGGAAGATCCTGAGCCAGCACCCGGTACGGCCGCCCTCGCTCGTGTGGCAGGTGTAAGTTTCAGGAGGTTAGCCAGACTTTGGGGTGCCAGGAAGGTCGCTGTGGGCCAGCCCGAGGTCACCACCACTCCCGGCAACTGCTACAAAAATGCCCCAACTTGTGCCCAAAACTGAGGATCTTCCACTCGGGGAACGTTTTTCCGCCACCAGAGGAACTGACCAGGGGGACGCTGGTTGGAGCCACCACCCAGCAGGGCCGTTTTCCCTAAGTGGACCGTCTGGCTAACCTCTTGCAACTTACACCTGTCCACTCTGGAGTACCCGGTTCCTGCTGGTCACACATTCTCGGGGACTCCCTGGGGCCTGCCCTGCAGCGTGGCATAGCTGAGCCCAGTGTCACTTGCATGCCTCAGCGTCGTGGAGTGACCTGGCCGTGAGGCTTACAGGGCTCAGCCTCACAGTGCACGTCCGCTGAGGCTCAGATAAGAGAGTGGCCCTGGGCCCGAGGGGACATTCAGGTCAGAGCTAGTGCTCCGTTGGCCTGTCCACACCGCACGTGGCAAGATGCCCCCCACCACCGCCCCGCCCTACCCCTCCCACCTCTGCTCCAGGGCTGGGAGCCCTGAAGCCACTCCAGTCCCCGGGCCGGGCTCCCTCCTGGCGCCTGGGCCACACCCACTGGAGCCTGATCGCCAGTCCCAGTGGTCACCGGAGGGCTCCTGTGCCGGGGACCGGCGGCCTGGAGCAGTGCCATCAAGCTTAACCGCCCCAGGGGCGCCCAGCCTCAGAGGGGTGTGGCCGCCAACGTTAGCCCAAGAGTGGGGGGGGGCTGTGGCTGGCAACCCTCCTGCCCCAGGTCACCTGGAGGGGACAATGCGGGCACCCAGGCTGCCCCGGACCCCGCCGTCAGAACCCCAGGGTAGGATCTGGGCGCCTCTCTGAGCCTGGAAGCTCCCTGGGGGATTCTGGCCAGCTGTCTCGGCTTAGAGTTACACACTGGGACGGGAGGAAAAGCAGGCTTAAGGAACCGTCACCCGTCACCGTCACCAGGTCTGCTGCAGCTTGGTTTTGTCTGTCCACCTTCCTGCTGTCCTGAGTCGCTGGAACCGGGGTGGTTGGCCCGACTGAGAGACGGATGGGCGTGGGGACACACCTGGGACTAGGCGCAGGAGATGTGAAGGCCGCAGGGCAAGGGTCCCCCGTTTCTGGCCACGGTGGCGGTGACGTGGCTCCAGAATTGCTCTGTAGGAGAGTCTTGAGGGGCGAGAGGAAGCAGGTGGCAGGATTTGTCCTGAACTGCCCTGAGGGAACGGTGCGCTGACACGCATTTGGGGTCACAGGGGAGGCTCAAGGATGCCATGCGGAGGGGACTACGCCCCCAAACCACCTCCTTGTGGCCCTCACTATGCAGGGGCACAGGAGCCCAGGGACAGGCCGGCCCCTGCTCTTTCTTCTCTCCTCCCATCGCCCCCCCCTACCCCGGGGGCAGCTCACAAGGCCCTCCCCCCGCACGGCCCGCCCTCTGTCACGGCCTGTCGCCCAGTCTCTGACACTCGTTACCATGGAGGTTTTGTTTGCACTTATCTGTGATTATTTATTTACTACCATTTGACTCGCTCAGGAGACCAAGTGCCATGAGAGCAGGAGCTGTGTCCGCCTCTGGTCGCCCCCCACCGCCGCCACCTGGACTGCGGGCCCCTGGGTGGGCACCAGAGCGTGAGGCCTGCGCCCCGAGCCTGGCCGGCCGTGAGCTGCTGTGCTCTCGGGGCTCCTGCCCTGCCTTTCTCCCCTCTCCGCCTCCTCGGGTGTCCCCGCTTCCCGATGGCACCCACTGCCGTCCAAACGCTCCCGTGCCGAGTCCCGTCCCAGGGTCTGATGGAAAGAGGGACTGATCAGAAACATGGACTGGAAAAAGGCGTTTAAAGGAAGGGGGTGACGTCGCTCCCCGCCGGGGCCGGCACCTCGGCGGCAGCCTCCGCGCTGCGCTCGGCGCTGGGAATTTCAGCACCGGAGGGGGTCAGCGGTGGGGACACGTCGGACTCGGAGGGGAAGCTTAGTTGTCCCTCGAGGCAGCCTATGCTGGCAGCACTCAGGTTCCATCCCCGACCCCCCTGTGCCTGCTGAGCTCGTCCCTGTCCCCGGATCTCCTGCCCAGGGCACCAACTGCCGCGCTGGGGCCCCGCCTCCTTCCCGGGCGCCTCCCTCCCCTGTGCTACCCAGTGACCTTTGGGCCGCTTTCTCGTTATCTGCCCTGGTGAGTCAGGGATGCTATAAACAGGCAGCAGGACACAGAGCTGGGCGGAGGTTCCCACTTGGGACGGTCACAAAGTTCACTGGGAGAGAAGCATGAAATGTGGAGGGCAGGGCCGCAGTCAGAGCTCACGGCCCCGCGTGCCCGTGTGCGCACACGGGAACCGATGACACCTGTCGTGAGCGAGGCTGGTCCTGCGGCGAGCCCTGCCCCCGGCGCCCGCCCCGCCCCAGGCTGGGGTCTGGCTCCATCTGGCTCTTGTGTCTTCAGTCTCCCCTTCCAGAAGCAACTTCCCTCTCACCGACACGCCACCCAAGGCTCCGTCTCCTGTCCTGGGGGGGACTAGAGAACCCTCCCGGGATCTGCGGTGGCCCCCTGGCTCCCGGGTGAGGCGAGCTCGCTGAGGAGGTGGCCACCGCACTGCCCCTGCTTCCTGTTGACCACGAACCTGCAGCTCGGCTTTGTGGCCGTGGAGTGCCAGGGGCTTGTGGCAGAACTTCTGGCACCGGAAATGCGCGAAGAGGAAGCCAGGGCCCCCCGGGACCCAGGCCGCGCGTTAACCCTGCGTTTGCGCCTTTATTCAACCGCACCCGCTCTCGGTGACGGCACGGAGGTGTCACGGACAGCTTGGCACCCTGTGTCAGTCCCTCGTAAACACAGCCTTGTGCACCGAATCCTTCAGGGGCTACCTGAAGCCCCACCCGCTCTGAAAGCCGCTCCCTACGGCCCTCTGGTCCCCATGCAGCCCCTGCCCTCTCTCCCCCAACTTCCCGGCTGACAGCGACCTCTGCTCCCCAGGCAGGCCCTGTGCCCTGAGCCAGTCAGTCAACACGGTCTCATGAGCACCCGGCTCTGCGCAGACATCCCGGGGTGGGAGGAGCCTGAGGCACAGACCCTGGGCAGGAGCGTGCCCCCCGGTGAGGGAGGGCGGCCTGCACGCACCACACCCCAACCCGCATCGGCGTGAGAGGCACGTGTGCGTGCCTGAGACGCTGCCGGGAACGGTTCGGAAAGCCAGCAGAGAACACAAAATCGCTAACTCGAAAAGGCAGCGTCACTCCTACGTTCCCTGCAGCTGATTTACAATAACCGAGGCATGGAGGCAACCCAGGCGTCCATCGGTAGATGAATGGATAAAGACGTGGTACATATATACGATAGAATACTACGCAGCCATGAACAGGAATGCTGCCATGCCATCTGCGACAACGCGGATAGACTGAGGGTATGGTGCTGAGCGGAGGAAGTCAGGGTCAGGCAGAGAAAGACAAATGCCGTGTGATCTCACACATCTGTGGAAGCAAAAAAGGCAAATGAACAAACGACACAAAATACAAACAGACGCATGTCACAGCCACTACTACTGTGATGAGTCTGCACGGTGACAGACGGTTACTGGGCTTCGTGGGGTGATCGCATCGTAAGGCATGCAAATGTCGAGTCGCTATACTGTGCACCTGACTCCAACACAGTATCGCATGTTGACTCTACTTAAAAATAGATAGATAGATAGATGATAGGTAAACAGATGATAAATAGATGGATGGATAGATGACGGATGGATGGTCGGATGGACGGACGGGCAGACAGACGCCGGCACGGTGAGGGCTGCAAGGCCCCGGCGGGCTTCCGGAGGAAGGGGGCATGGACGTGCTCGCCACCCTTTCCGAGTGCCTTGCACTAAACGAGGCCCTCGGGGAAAACTCGTTGAATCGATTGGGCTTTACAGATTCCTAAAGATCCTTGTTGAACAAACAGTTCGACAAACATCATCGGTTTCTAGCCCCCCTCCTCTTGCCCCTCGATCCCCCGACCCCGAGCTCCCAGGGAGAGACCACAGAGGCCGTTCCCACCTGGGGGGGCGGGTCTCTCCTGGCCTCCAGCGCCTCCTCCTCAAGAACGTGACTCCTCTGGGGACACGAGTTTTCCTAAGTGGAGGCCCTGCTGCCCGTTTCCCAGGGGTTCCCGCTTGTGCCCGAGCAGCCAGTCCCGCCAGGCACGTCGTGTGTCACTTTCCGTCAGCTCTCAGGAGACAGTTCGACATCTTAACAAACCTTAATTATTCAGGAGCAGTCATGAGGCTGTCAGCTGGGTCTCCATGCGCCGCCCCCCCCCGCCTACCCAGATGACCTCTCCTGTCTCCATCGCACTCCGCTTCCCTCCCCAGGGCTCCTCGGGGCTCCTTTACTTGATTTTGGGGGGCATGTTCCAGCGACCTTTGGGAGCAGGTGGTTATGAATCCCGTCTTTCAAGCCTGAGTTCCCTGCCACGCGTTCGCTTGCCGTCGGACGCACTCATGGGAGCACCTCCTGGGCGACAGGCACTTTGTTGAGCCCCCGGGGACGTGGCAGTGAGGAAAACAGCACGGTGGCAACGCAGAAGGCTGGGGAGGCTCGCGCTTGTGCGCCAGGGGGAGCGGGAGGGTGCGCCCGGCACCCAACTGTTAGTAACGCCCTGTGGCGGGAAAGCGCCAGATGGAGGCCTCGGACTTGCTCGCACGCGAGAAGAAGCTGAGGAGAGACAGCTCCCAGGGGGAGCCTACCGGCGGGGACGGCAAATTCCGGGCCGCTGCAAAGACGCCCAACAGAGACCTGTGCAAGGAAGTGGAAACGGAGGCGGGGAAGGCTCTAGAAACTTCTAGAATTTCTCCACTTGCTAGTTTTCTAATCACGGGTTAGACGCCCTCCCTGAGGCTCCCGTCGCATCCACGGAGCAGGGATAGGAAGACGGCACGGGAGAGGGAACCGGGCCGCGGAGCGGAGACACGTCGAGCCCGCGGAAGGAGGGGAAGGGACTGGGCTTCCTGCAGATGGGGGTGGGGAGGCCGGTGGCTGCACACATCAGAAGCCTCTGAGTGTGTGATGGGAAATCGTGAGAAGTCATACCCGACGCCTTCGCGGCCAGTGATCAATCGGTGGGAAGGATCTAAATCCGCTGAGGAGGATTCTGCGGACGGCTGTGGCAGGAAGTCCGGAAACGCGGGATGAAGTCTCACCCAGGATCGGGGTAACGTAAGCCCGGCTCAGGGCACGGGGTCGGCATCGAAGTCCTCAGGGGCACGGACGGCCTCCGAGGAGTGCTGTCCGTTTGTTCAGGGTGCTTCGAGTTTCCTTTTCTTTGTGAGCTCTTTCTCATCTCTTCATCCCAACCTTCCCCCTCACAAACCTATCAACAATAAACGATTTTTGCTCACCGTCATAATGACCTCGAAAACTGAGCTATTCTTTAGGTGCGACCATTAGCAATGACTATTCCTTTTTGACAGTTTGCCCAGGATGACAGTGGGCAGTTACCTCTTGTGATGAACTTCTAACTGAGGATGTGCCTCAAGCACAGACTGCGGGATGAGAAAGTAGAAGTTATCCAGTGTGACAGTAACGGACAGTTACCGATGACATAGCAGATGGTCAGTGATGATATAGCGGACAGTCAGCGATGATGTAGCAGACAGTGATGATGTAGCAGACGGTTACCGATGATGTAGCAGATGGTCAGTGATGATGTAGCAGACAATTAGTGATGATGTAGCAGACAGTCAGCGATGATGTAGCAGACAGTCAGCGATGATGTAGCAGACAGTCAGCGATGATGTAGCAGACAGTCAGCGATGATGTAGCAGACAGTCAGCGATGATGTAGCAGACGGTCAGCGATGATGTAGCAGACAGTCAGCGATGATGTAGCAGACAGTCAGCGATGATGTAGCAGACAGTCAGCGATGATGTAGCAGACAGTCAGCGATGATGTAGCAGACAGTCAGCGATGATGTAGCAGACAGTCAGCGATGATGTAGCAGACAGTCAGCGATGATGTAGCAGACAGTCAGCGATGATGTAGCAGACAGTCAGCGATGATGTAGCAGACAGTCAGCGATGATGTAGCAGACAGTCAGCGATGATGTAGCAGACAGTCAGCGATGATGTAGCAGACAGTCAGCGATGATGTCCCCACGTGGGCGCCAGCCTTCCCTGTGGTGAGGAGGTAGGTTGGCTGTACCTAGGCCCACATGTTGGTCTTCACGGGGCCTCAGAGGAGGACAGCCTGTGTGCCATGGCCCAGAGGCTGGCTGCGGTGTGTCTTGCTCCGATTGGAGGACAGAAGATGTCCCTGGGTGTCCCCTCAGAGGTCCTGTGGGCAACGATGTCACTTACTTCTCCCTCCTTTCCAGTCTGGGCGGCTGTCAATGCCATCTCTGTGGAAACCCCAAAGGAAGTTCTTCGGGCTGCCCGGGGAAAGAGCGTCACCCTCCCGTGTACCTACAGTACCTCTTCCCCAAACCGAGACGGATTCATCCGATGGGACAAGCTCCTGATGAGCCACACGGTAAGGATCCTTAGAAAGTTGGGGGCATCAGGGAAATGAGCGCGACTCGTAAGTGACAGTGGACGTGCCCTGAGGCAGCACTCATCTCAGTGGGTGCCACGTTCTCTTTGATGAGTGATGGGCGTATCGATGGATAAATAAACCCAGAGGCAAGATCTGAGCAAAGCAAGGGGCACGGAAGCCACAGGTGGCCACCTAGCACGACGCCCGGCCCGTAGCGGGTGAGTCAGTGAGCGGGACCAGACCGGGCTGAATGGGGAAGGGAAGGGAGATGCCGGAGGTCAGAGGCGGGCGCGTTCGAGACCACACACGCGCTCCTGCGGTGTGACCTGCCCGCCTGGCCCAGTCTTTCGCGATTCTTCCTAAGCACGTGTGAGCACTGTAGAACCGGAGCCGCGTGTTGGCACGCCCGGGCGGGGACGGTGTGCGGTGGCCAGGACAAGCTGGGAGCCCGCGCCGGGCCGCAGGCTGAAGACCAGGTGGCATCCCTCTTTCCTGCCAGGAAAAGGTGCTCATCTGGACGTTTTCAACCCAAAGCTACATCTACGGTGACCTGTATAAGAACCGTGTCAACGTATCGAGCAGCGCAGAGCAGTCGGATGCCTCCGTCACCATCGGCCAGCTGACCATGGCTGACAACGGCACCTACGAGTGCTCAGTCTCGCTGATGGCAGACCTGGACGGCACCTCCAAGTCACGCGTCCACCTCTTGGTGCTCGGTGAGTGTTCCTGTCTCCTTCCTTGGCGGCAGGAAGCTGGTGGGGCCAGGAGAGGCACCCCAGTGGCAGGACAAAGCCAGAGGTGGCAGTGCCACCCCAGGGCTCAGACGCCCCCTACCGTCGGTCCTGTCTCGGGATGGGGAGGGCACTACGTGTCCCTTCAGGGTAGAAGGCTACTCTGAGTTCTCATGAGGGGCAGACGGCTCCCCAGGGCAGAGGGAAGGCCCGCTGGCGTGGTCCCTGGGGGTCGGCCTGGCAGGTTCCGCTCATGCTCTGTCCAGGGCTCTTCCTGGACAGCTGACCTCTCAAGCCAGACTTACCGAGAAGAAACGGGACGTCCTCGTCCTATCGTCGAGATGCTCACCTGCCCCTGACTTTGGTGCCGAGGGCCAGCGGTGACTCCCGCAGTAGGGGGTCCTTCCGTGTCCTGAGCTCAGCTCACGGGCAGCGACCCTGCACACCCCCACCTCCCAGCCCTGGACCCCAGCAGCACGCCGCTGGCCAGGCTCTGCTGCCTCAGCAACGTGGCCCAAGGCGACACTGTTTTCACACGTCGAACTTCCTGTTAGAGTGCGTAGCTTTGGAAGGGTCTGAACAACCACCTGCTGCAGCGTCTCCATTTTGTAGACGAGGCTCAGAGAAAGGAAACACCTGACTCAAGGTCAAAGTTCCCGGGAGAACCTTAGCACCTGCTCCCTGACCACCGGAGGACGTGGCCCTGGCGGGGAGCAGCCCCGTGAGCCAGAACGAGGCATCGCGTTCCCTTTATGCTGTCGCCGACACACTACTTAGTGGGGCACCATGTTCAGCTGCGTATGTTGGTGGCACCGTAGTGGGTCACGTGATACAGCTCCCAGCGAAGAGTAAGGACTGACCACTGCCCCACGCCCCTTCTGCCGACAGGGCCGGTGGTAACGCTCATGGGCGGTATCCTTCCACGCTTCCTCCATGGCCTTTACGCACACGCGCGCACACGCACACACACGCACACAACCCTACAAATGTAGAATCAGTGTTAACCTCTCACCCCAACTCCCGAAGAACTTTAAAGTTCCCAATTAAACCTTCAAGGTCTCAATGCCAATCTATACATCTTGCATTCCCATCAGAAACCGGGAGCGTAAAGACGGCTGTGCGATGTTGCTGTCCCGTCTCGTGCTCGTTTTCCGGGAGGAGCGCGTGGCGATCTGCCCGCTGGCGGGGGGCGTCCCGCCCGCGCGGTACTCG